GCCAGGGAGACTGGCTCCTTTTATGCTCTCTGGCCATACACAGAAGATTTCAAAAAGGAACACCTTCTGTGATTGGCCAGAGAGCAGATGCCAAAACCCTATTGGCCACTAGTGCTCCTTCCCTGGGAAAAGAGCAAGCTAGTGGCAGCAGCACAACAGCCTTGCAAAAAAGTTCCAGAGTTTTGCAAACTGCAATGCATTTGCAAATGCATTGCAGTGATTGGCTGTCTAGTTCCCTCTTCCCCCCCCTCCTGAAAACAGGAGCAAAAGGTGGGAAAGAGGGGGAAATGGCAGGAAAACGGTTTCCCTGCCACCCTTTAAAGTTTAAAGCCCCCGAATGCCGTTTTTCAGCAATGCCAAAAAAAGCCAAAAAAGCCTGAATTTTTTCGGTTTTTTTAATATCCCAAAAGGCTTGCAACGGGCATTTTTAGATCCCAAAAGCCGAAAAAATCCAAAAAGAGGTTTTTTTCAGGATTTTTTTCGGTTCAGGATTCCGAAATGCACACCCCTACCTAGTACCCGTATCTCCTACTTTTTGTCCAAGTCACCTTGACAGGAGAACAAAGTTTGATTCTAGTGGCACTTTAAAGACCAACAAAGTTTAATTTTGGTTATATGTGCTGTGCAATCCTTTGTCCCTTCCGTCTAAACATACTCTGTTGTTATTCTTGGATATGCTCCTCATTCTTACAGTTACAGTTTTCTACCTTGAGTTCTTTGTCCAGGCTGTCTGCCTTTTGTTAGCGGCACATGCTAATAGTGGCCAAAACGATGGAGCATAGGTGTGGCAGCTCTTTCTTCCAAGATATAATCACCCAAAATGTACATTGTTCCCCTTGTGTCCAGGGAAATTAACTCCTCTGTCTGACCACTCCCTTTTGGGTCAGTCCTTCTCTTCCTGTCCTTCACAGTATTTGACATTCCCAAGTCTCTGACCCCTGATAGGTTTCACATTCCTGCCAGTTTGATTCAGGTGGCTAGCCGTGTTGGTCTGAAACAACAGAACAGAGTTTGAGTCCATTGGCACCTTTAAGACCAACAACGTTTAATTCTGGGTATAAGCTTCAGAAATGTACATGAAAGCTTATACCCAGAATTAAACTATATTGGTCTGTTCCTGCCCGTGTGTGAGATGGGCCTTTGATTGTTCTCTGTGCATTAGAAGCATTTGCATAACTCACCCTTAAGTACTTTTGAGAGGCATCAACGGGATGGGGCTGCTTGAGAGCAGTTTACAGCTCTCCTGTTTCCTTCCCTTGTAATGACAGAGAAACTTTTTGTGTTTTTTTTATTTTAACATCATATACAAATAAATATGTTAGTTTTACAACATTTTTGGACCATCTTATCCATATATTTCTAACCATCTATCTAGTTTCTGCCATCTTTTCTTAAACACACTATCAAATTTTCCCGCTAGTAACATATTTATTTTGTCCATTTCTTTTATATCTCTGGTAATTTATCAGATTTCCAGCATTTTGCTATAGCTATTCTAGCGCTTGTGAGAATATAGAGTATCAAGCGTGCATCGTTATAATTTATTCTATCAGGCAAGATGTTTAATAAATATACTTCTGGATTCAGTGGTAGGTCTATTTCTACTATTTCTTGAATAAGTTGTTTTATTTTTTCCCAAAATTTTGCCACTTTTTCGCATCTCCACCAGATGTGATAATAGGAACCAACATTTCTTTCACATCTCCAACAGTTCCCTGATATGTTCTTATAGCATTTTAATGCTTTGTCCGGTGTCCAATGCCACGACAGAGAAACTTTTTGGAATGACTGTGTGGGTTTTGTAGTCCCCACACTCCCAGTACTGTAGCCTAAAATAGAGTATGTTTCTCCACACTGCTGTTTGACTCTTTATCAGGAGTAACATAGCACAAATCTTACTGGCGGGGGGAGGGTGGGCGGCAGAAATATATGCAAGACTTAATCATCTGAACTGGTTTTACTATAGGATATGCTATGTATAAAGTGCGCCAGACTGTTTTCCATCTGCCACAGGAATGTGAGTGTCGTGCTTTTCAGGGAGATGTGACATAGGTCTTTGAACTCTCCCCGATTACGATCGAGTGGATTAAAAATTTAGATACTAGTATTTCGGGGGATCGTCCACTTGGTCTGCATACCCATTGTATCAACTTGGCTCTGTATTTTATTTTATTATATGCTTCCTGTGTGTAACTGCCATATGATAAATAAATGAATGTATAAATTCTAACATAAAATTGTACTACATGGCGTGTTTATGATATTTAAAAATATAAATGTTTTAATGTTCAAACAAATAGATCTACTTTTACAGATGGCCTTGTGGGCACCCTCATATCTTAGCTTTTGCTAGTTGGTGAAATGGAATAAGAAATGTTTTTTGTATACTGTGTGTTCCTCATGTCTTGGTGATCAGATATGTAGTGTGAATTTCATGCTTGGAATCCATTCCCTGGTGTACAGAGGCTGATTCAGATTGGGTTGGCCTAGTGTTGCTGGAGTTCTGGAATTACAATAGATCTCCAGACTAGATCATTTCCCTTGGAGGAAATGGTAACATTAGAGGGCACAGAAACAGAAGACATAGGGTGACATCACATCCCTGCTGCTGAGCTCCATCTCCACATCACCAGGAATTTCCCAAACTGGAGTTGGCAACCCTCAATGGGATCCTAATGAATAGGGAAAGGGAGTTTAAGCCTTCTTCCCTCATTTTCCTAATCTGAAATGGCTGTGGGAGGGAATGCTTTCTGAGGGGAAATCACTTAAACTGATGGCTGCATGTAGTGCATAGGGCTCCTGGGACAGTTTCAGGTTTGGAAATGGGTGGGTAGTGGAAGGCTTCAGCTACCAGTTTTCCAGGGTCCCAATCTAAATTGTCCCCCACACACCTAAGAACTGCGTTCTGACTATGGAATTTGCTGTGTATGTCTGGAGGAATGCAAGGAACACCTAAGTTGGGCCCTTAAGCAGTCAGTAGATTTCAGCTTTATGCAGAAGCAGATGAAATTCCTCTGTCTGAACTCTCTGAACCTTTTCAAATTTCATTCAACCCTCTAGGCTCCACAACCTGGGTATGGACCAACTAGGCCACAGCTGCCTCAAGTGGAGCCATCAGCAGAAGGAGGAGAACTGGTGGGGCGTGGGCGTCAGAAAAGAGGAGCTGTTGCACCAAGATCAGAGGGTAAAAGAGCTCAGTGGGAGGGCACTTTTCTCCCAATACCCAGTTATCTGTTGAATGGAGTCTCCCTATCATTGCAACACCTGTGTAGTTGTTTAGATCTGCATTTGGTGTGCGTTCAGAGTTTAAATTTATTGGCATTTGACTTTTACAGTACAAGTAGAGGCTTTGTGGCAAATTACTTGTAGTCATATTGGCAGTCATAGTGCTGTCACACTAAACCCTTGGAAAGTTGTTCACACACACACACACTTTTTTTTTTTTGGCTAGTGCTGGATTTGACTCACAGGTTGCTGTTACATTGACATAACAAGAATGAAGAAAAAATGGACTGCACCCAGCAATGTGCCAACAGAACAAAAAGGAGAAAATGCCAGGTGATAGTTGACTGGTTTATTATTGTACAAAGTCCCTACACATTTTGTGTGCAGGCTTCGTCAGGGGGAATCAGAACATTCACCTAGTGCTGGAACTGTCCATGGCAATTAAATCAGTCAACTTATCACCTGACCTTTTTTTTTTCCACATTGGCATAACAGGCATTCCACTGATAGAATGATGTTTCTGTTGGTTGTGGACCGGAGGCTGATTTCTGTTCATTATTCTCTTCCACTGCAGACCCCTACTTTGCTGCTCACACTGTTCTAGGGGGCCAGATCAGAATTTTGAGGTGCACAAAAGTCTGCAATGGCAAGGGGAGGCAAAGAAGTTCCCTTCCTCTAGTGTCACTAATGCATGCAGCTTAGGGTATCACTATCTATGATTCAAGCAATTCGAAATTCTATTCAGGCAGTGCTTATTATGAAACGCACTTGCCTTCTTTTCTGTTCGTGTTGTGATTATAACCTCTGCAATGCTGTGTATTGTGGCACTTGAGTTGTGAAATGTCCATTGTCACCCTGCCTAAGTTGTTGCTTGCTGTAAGATTTCCACCTTATTGCCTCTTCAATTAGCAATGGAAGTGGAGTTACTGTTGGTGAGTTTCTTTGACTGTGAGGCTAAGCCAACAATTTAGGCTGGCAAGAAGTATGTCTTCTGATTTAAGTGATCAGGGCTTTGTTCTGTTTCTGATTATTTAGAAAATTCATACCCTGCCTCTCCAGAGGCATCATATAAAATAATTGACAAGTGCAAGTCATGATAAGTGTTTGCTCTTGAAATCCAGAACTGCAGATTTCAGCCGGCTTTCAGGAAATGACATTAGGAGAAAGAGGGGGACGTCGTAGAGACTTCCATGATCTTGGTGTAAATACGCGTCAGTCAATGGAGCATGTTAGAGAATCCAAAACAGGTATGCAGCATTTTTATACATACTTTGTATAGTTTATAGGTACATCATGCTAATAAATGGCAGCTATTTAGAACCAGAATACTTTCAAGACCCCATCACAGTTCAGGATACAATGGGGAGCCTCAGTTCTTCTAGGCTCCTCATTCTGGCCTCATGTGATTTCTGCATCTGCCCCCACTAACTTGAGCTTGCCTTGTATTTAGTATGGTCCTTCCTTGCTACCTTGGGAAATAATGATTTGATGGATAGATAGGAGCAGTGGTGTAACTGAAAATGGCTACATTCTAGTGCAGAGAGTAGTTTTTGTTGTGTGGCTGGTAAGAGATGACTGATAATTGAATGCTTCTCCTCAGGTGCCTCAGGTACTATAATAAAGCTCAGTACAAACCATTTTCGGTTGAGTTCTCGTCCTCAGTGGGCCTTGTACCAGTATCACATTGACTATAACCCTGTGATGGAATCCCGGCGTCTTCGCTCAGCTTTGCTGTTTCAGCATGAAAGCCTGATTGGAAGAACACATGCGTTTGATGGGTCCATTTTGTTTTTACCAAAGAAACTGGAAAACAAGGTATACTTTCTGCAATGATTCTGTGGAGGCAGGTGTGGAAAGGTTTACAATACAATGGTGAGCTGAGTAGTTCAGAAGCTTGTTTGCCATGTATTCTATGATGTCAGAAATGAATCTTCATATAAGGTGCTAAATCCTTACCGAGATTTAGAACTGTGGCGGAACAGGCCCACGTCAGCTGGCAGAACCCGTTCTGCCCACCACACCTTTGCCTGACCTGGCACCTGAAGGGGCAGTTTTTCACCACTGCCTCCAGGTATTGCTGCCACCAGTGTCCCTGTCGTGGGCTCTGGTTAGGCGGGACAGCCTCCTAACCTCCCTCTAATGTCGCTAGGAACCCACCTCGGGGCTTCCTGGCAATCTTTGGGGCTCTCCTGGAGAGTTGGCAAATGGTCATTTTGCCCTTGTTCTCAGGGAGTCCCAACCCACTCCTAGCGTGTCCAAGTGGCCGGGGGAACTATGCGGTACAGAGATACTTCTCAATGTCAACAGTAAAAGGATTTATTTTGAAACCAATCAACTATATACAGGCATTTCCACAGTGAAGAATCAAAATAAAGGCGACAAAATCGCTCCATCTCTCCCTTCTCTACACATACCCTGTCTAGATGGTCTACAGGGCAGGCACATGACTTGCTTTCACTGGAAAAGGTTAGATTAGCATAACTCCCAACATGGCCTCTGCCTCCTGCAGACTCCAGCCGACAGCCTGACTGGCTCCAGACTTCTGACAGACCGACCTCAATTCCGATAGACTGGCTTCCCGCCCAGGAAGTGGCTCTCCCTCCTGCAGTATTCTGGGGCAGATCTCCTCACAACCTTGATGGACTTCTGTCCTCTCTAGCGAGCTGCCCTCAGACTACTGGTTGGAGACGGGGAGGGGGGGGATGAGGAGGAGACTAGGCCAAGGCCTACCTCAGGTTTGATGGTCCCCTCCTTTCTGGCCCACACCAACTTAAACATATACATAAAATGGCGTTTCTCCACAAAAACAAAATGGTCAAATGCACAGGAAAGCGTGGGCTCAAGGAGCCAGAGATGTATAAGCTGTTTGTGTAAATGAATCCCATCATTTTAAGGGGTTGGGTCTGTTCTCTGGATGTTTTACATTTCCAGACAAGCAAAACTTGGTTTTTAACTCTAGTATAAATGTTAATATTTTTAGGTTACGGATGTGTTCAGTCGGACTCGGCAGGGAGAGGACGTGAAGATTACAATCACCTTAACTAATGAGTTGCCTTCTACGTCACCTACGTGCTTACAGTTTTACAACATAATTTTTAGAAGGTTGTCTTTCAATATATTTTCATTTTCTTGTTAGCGTTTATTTAGTGGTGGGACTAATGGTATTTGCCATTATTGATAGTAAATCTCTAGTGAAAAAACAGATTCTTATTTGATATGCACTAAGAACTGTCTGAAGTTTTATCCTTATTGCTTGGCAGGCCTGCCTTCCCCTGCATGGGAAGAAGAGGGGTTCTTGGAAATGGCCCCTGTTAGTTCTTCATCTTATTCCCCTTTGGCAGGAGGGAGCCCCTCCCCCAATTCCAGTGATAATGATGGGGGTTTCTTTGGAGCTCTTAATCAACTGTAATTACTTTTGAACAGCGTGGGTGAGGTTGCTTCTCTGTTACTTTCCTGAATTATTTAGGGGGGAACATGAAGGGAGCTAGGCTGCCGCCTTCCATTTTTTGGGTGACTTTACCAGTGGTGTGCCTGACAAGCATGGGTCTTGTAGCTCTAAGAGCTCTCACAGTGTTAGTAATATCGCATCACTATGGACTTTGCAGTTGCCTTTTTCCACTTTCAAGACCAGTATGTGATTGGAAGGAAGGAGGGGAGGGAAGAAAGTACTTGATATACCTGTCACTTAAGGTTTTCTTTTTCTGTTAACTGGTCAGGTGAGGAACTTCATCTGTGTTGCTCAAGTGGTATTCGTAGTTCTTGTGCCTCACTTGGGCTATTCTTGGCATAAAATAGCTGTAATATGTTTTGAATGTAACACATTTACAGTCTTGAACTCAATTTGTGGACAGTTCCCATAGACAGATCTAGCAGAGATCTATGACTGGAAAAGATCTGTGGTGGTACTTACTTCTAGCCTGCTGTAATGAGTACTGCCCTGCTGGGTCAGGCCAAAAGCCCACCTATTTCAGCCTTCTGCTTCCTGTAGTGGCCAAGCAGATCTCACAAGCAGGGACACAGAGGACTGTGTTGATGTCCCCAAACAGCTATTCATGCCTCTGAACCTGGAGGTTTCATTCACTCATCATGATTAATAGTAATTGAACATCTCCATGAATTTGTCTAATCCCCTTTTCCAGCCATCAAAGCAATTGCAACATCATGTGGTGTGAATTCTGCGTATTAATTAATGTTTTTATGAAGAAGTATTTTCTCTGTGCCTTTAGTGTATTGCAAGGGGGAGCGAAAGTTCCCTCTTTGTGCTTTCTCCACACCGTGCACAATATTCTAAGCCTCTGTTGGACCCCTCCCCCTTTAAGCAGTCTGTTTTTCTGAACTAAAAAGGCCCAAACTTTCTCAGTTTTGTCTCACAAGGAAAGTACTCAAACCCCTTGATTAATGTGGTTGCCCTTTTCTGCTCCATTTGCAGCTCTGCTGTATTCTTTTTGAGATTGGGCACGTGTATCTTTAAATAATACTCCAAATGTGACCTTGTTATAGATCTCTGTGAGAGCATTATGACACTGATTTATTTTTAATCCCTACTGTGGATTGGTAGCGCTACTTTATCTCATTGCACTCTGACTTTTTTTTCCAGGCTCCTGAAGATTATGAATTTGCAGCAAATAGGAAGAAATTATTACAATCCTGGTGACCCAATCAGTATTCCAAAACACAGGTATATGAAATAGGTGGACACGTTTAACACTTTTGTGATGTGGCGGGCTATAGTCTGTGGTTAAATGGAACAAAAATCAGTATGCATGATTTATATATGTTCCCTTGTCTCTTAAAAACGGGATTCCAGAGGAGCTTGTTCTTGCAATTTGCTTTGCTTTAAAAACTAACCATTCAAAAGAGAAATGTTTTAAAATAAGTAGTCCATATGTCAGATATATGTTCAGTGACCTTTTTTGGGGGGGGGGACTAGTTCTGGAAATGTTTGTGTGCACTGGTGTTTTTTTTTCTTGAGAGGAGGACATCCTGACTCTTGGGTACTTTGCCATAATCCAGAGGGCAGGCACTAGGATGCAATGTCCACTTCACTGGGAGGAAGTACACACTACCTTCAGCTCTCTTCCCATTTCCTCTGTGAAATACTGTAGTGCAGTATGTGCACCTGCACTTGCAGCACCTTGGCTCATCTGAGAGGCATTGTGGTTGCCATAACAGTGTCTGTGTCCAGGCTGGTTACAGTGGAAGACTGATACCTTGTGAGAAAAGGGCTTCTCCCATGAGGCATCCAGGTCTGCCATTGTAACCAGTCAAGATGTAGCAGTAGTTAATGGTAACTGCAATGCCTCAGGAGGGAGAAGGCACTAAAATGATGGTGAATGGTGCTTGTACTCTGGCTGTTTCTTTCTAGGAAGAACCTGCAGCCAGAGGCCTGGTGTAGCCCAATCAAGGGCCCTTCTAGCTTCACACTAGTTTAGGAGAAGAGGGAGGTTTGGAATCATCTCACCCTAGAAAGGGTGAGGCCTGTGACCTGCTGTCTGCTTGCAAACAGGAACCATTTTGGTTAACAATCTCTAATTGTAATGAAAATAGAATACCAGGGGCCAGTTTGTAATATGTTGACTACATGATACACATTTCTGTTCTCTCTCTGGCAGGCTGATGATTTGGCCAGGTTTTACAACTTCTATACTGCAGTATGAAACGAACATAATGTTGTGCACTGATGTGAGCCACAAAGTTCTCAGGAGTGAGACAGTTCTGGATTTCATGTATACATTGTATGAACAGGTGGAAGAACAGAGGTTCAGAGAAATATGTGCTAAAGAACTGGTTGGCTTGATTGTTCTTACAAGGCAAGAGCTCCTCATTCTTTTAAAATAGGTGGGGAAAAACCAATTCAGGTTGCATTTATAGGAACTGTTGCAATTTCGGCAATGTTCAAAGAGTGCGTAGCAGTGACTGGTATGCCTTGATTTGGTATAATGTGTATATGATTCTTTTGCTCTCTGGGAAAAGAAGTTTTAGAATATTGTTCATTTGAGTAGTGGACAGATGCCAAAATAGAAGTTCATGGTGTTCATGGCCAAACATCTATATAGCAGTTCTGTTAAGAGAATAAGACATATCCAAGTGAGTAGCTGTGTTGGTCTGAAGCAGTAGAACAGAGTTTGAGTCCAGTGGCACCTTTAAGACTAACAAAGTTTTATTCAAGGTATGAGCTCATACCTTGAATAAAACCTTGTTGGTCTTAAAGGTGCCACTGGACTCAAACTTTTCTAGACTTAAGGCTGCGGTCTCACACACACTAAATAATGCACTTTCAGTGCAGTTTCCAACTGTTTTATTGTGTGAACTGGCAGAATCCAGTTGAGTGCATTGAAAGTGGATTATTTAGTGTGTCTGACCACAGCCTAAGACATATTCAGGATGTGTGTGTATGAAACAAGGCATTTTTGCTTCCCTGAAATACCAGAGAAGCCTCGAAGCATGGTTTTGATCATCACAGTTTTTATTCAGAGCTGCTCTAAATGTGTTCCATTCTGAACAAAGGCATGGTTATATACTGGGGTGACCAAACTGCAGTTCAGAAGCCGCATGCAGCTCCTTCAGACGGTCTAATTTAATGCTAATAAAAAGCAAATTTGCATATTTTTCTATTAAAATGTGTGTGTAATATTTGTTCATGTCTTGCAGCATTCAAACATCTCACATTTATTCTGTGTGGCTGTTATGTTAGGCAAGTTTGGGCACCCCTGCTGTATACAAATTCTAAATGAAACAAAAGCCAACTTAACTTTGCAGTTTAAGGATTAAATGGCCCTCTTTGGTTTTGACCAACTTGAAACCCAGTGTGATGGAATGGTTAGGAGTGTTGAATTAGGAGATGCAGTTCTCTGAAGTTCACCTGATAAAGTTGGGCCAGTCACTCTGTCTAACTTAGGAAGGCTTGTGAGGATAAAATGAAGGAGGGGGAAAACCATGTATGCTGCCCAGAGCTCCTTAGAGGGAGAGTAAGAACAAAACCATGCTGGACATGTCACTAAGCCTGACATGCTTTCAGGTACGCTGTTTGGTTTAGGGATATGCACTCTGTATATACCAAGCTGAATAAATATCCTAAAAATATACCCACATGGTATAATGGAGCTGAATACGTTCGGGTTTCCTGATATTTACCCATATCCCAATATAAAGCCAATACTGGTAACCAGGAATATTCGGGAATACTGATACTTTGGGGGGTTCAATAGGCCCAAATTGAGGGAAAAACTTATTGTTTTTGCACATCCCTAATTTGGTTGTATAGATGCATTACAAATTACAGTAGTGTGAAACTGAAATATCCAGTGCTGCTACTAGAGAATTAGGGTGTTAAATATTGGATTTATAGTCCACCACTTTCAGTATATTAAAAATGCATTGTTATAAGGGAAGCAGGATCAATCCGATTTTCAAAATGTTGCCAGATATAACAACAAAACATACCGGGTGGATGACATTGACTGGGATTCCAACCCCCAAGGTGTCTTTAAGAAAGCAGATGGATCTGAAATCAGCTTTGTGGATTATTACAAAAAGGTAAGAAATTTTGAGTTTGTGTGACCTTTATGGAACTTGTGTACTATGCTAAAATCATTTCCTGGGAGTCAGATATCTGATGAGACTGTATTAGTCCCCCCCCCCCCAATATGTCAGTTACATAATTCATCTTAGAGCTGCTTATGCTCATTGGAGGGTATACGTCTGGCTCTGGTGATGTGACCAATGATACCACTTATATGTAATAGAAGTTGAGATTACAAGGGTGCACTTCCTTACTTTCTCTTAGATGAATCCTAAAACATGAATGTACACAGTCACTTGAACACAGTAAACAACTTGGTCTGAGTGGGATGGTGTGGGGACTAGAGATGTAAAATTTCCGGAAATTTTGAAGCTCGGAAAAAATGGAAATTTTTGGAAAAATTGAAAAAAAATGCTACATTAACATTTCTTTTGTCTTTTCTAGATTGAAAGTCATTCTGTTACTTTAGGAACATAAAATATGAGTATGGACATTTTTACTTGGCATGAAATTATCACAACTCGCATATTAAAATATAGTGTATCCAAACAATTAGTACAAACAGAATACCCTCCCACATGCAAAAACAAAACTGAAACTTTTTTATTTTCTTCTGACAATCGCACCTCCTAAAGGAAGAAATGCATCTTGTTCTTGCATTGGAGAGTTCTGTTTGTAACCTAGGACTTGCTTGTCCTCAGTGCACATGCTTGTCCTCAGTGCACAGAAATTAGATCTATCTGTTACCATATATATATATATTTTAGAAATTATTTGGAAAATATTTGAACACTTTGTCTTAAAAGATTTTATTCATCATGTTAAAATAAAACGTTCCATAGTCAATTTTTTTTCTTTTTTCAATTTTTCCAATTTTTTGGGAAAAAACAAAAAGGCTTCAG